AGAGAAGTAAGAATCCCCCCCCCCCCGGGAACCCTAAGCCCAACGCAAGCCGCCCCTGATCTTTCGATAGGCTGGTGAGCGGAAGATGGCTTTCAGGCTCTTAAGAGCCCTTCCGAGGCCAGGTTCAGGGATTTGGAGCTTAGGGATTAGGGCTCCAACAGAAGTGTTTAGGGTTTAGGGTTAGATGGCAGAGTCTGGGTTCATGCTTAGTGATCTCACGGCATGGTTTGCCTGCCTGCCGGTCAGGCACGGGGTTGTCGCAGACGAGATAAGCTACAATGCGACCATCAGCGCCTGCGCAAAGACAGATCGCTGGGACATGGCGCCACTCCGCTTCGAGTAGAAGCCCGTTGAAAGCTGTTTAGCACGTTGAAAAGGAGCTAGTTGAGATGATGTATTGGGGTATTTGGGGTGTCGACACAAAGGCTCCAAGTGCTGGAAGAGATGCTGATGGCAAGGGTTCTTCCCAGCGAAGTAAGCATCACGGCAGCCCTCGCAGCTTTTGAGATCAGCGGCGAGTGGGAGCAGGCTATTCAGATGATGGACTTCCTGCTCCTCTGATCGTATGCTGTGAAGCATAGTAGAGTAGACATGGTAGAGTAGAGTCGAGATAGTCTGGCACCGCATAGAAAGGGATACTAAGTCGAGAACTTGCAGCAAAGGCTGGCACAGGCGCCACCGCCATCTCTGGTCTGTGCCCAGGCAATATGTCATAAAGGACCCTTAAGGGAGGTAGGGGGCCGTAATACCTGTAATCACGACCTAAAACGGCTTAAGGAAGTACCCTCCCCCTTACCACCACCCTTGTAAGGGTCCCCATGGATTTGCGAACAAGTCCAAGTCACTTGCTGACTTCTTCAAGAGCTTTCGCTTCGATGGCTAAGCTGCTCTCAGGTTTCAATGCCCTGCTCGGCAGCCTCAGCAAGGCTTTACAGTGGGAGCGCTCTTTGAAGCTTCTTGTGGACGTGGGCGGGGATGGCATAACCCACCAGACCACACTTGCTGCATGCAGTCGCCTGGCTGCTTTGTGCCTCTGGGGGCTGACTCGTGCGGAAAGTTTATAGGATTCTACCCGACTAGGCATGAAACGTGGATAGAAGCGGCCCTTCAGCCAAGGCGCGGGGAGCAAATGGAAGCTCACTTTGTGCTTACTACGGGAGATGCAAGACCTGCCTCTCATGGGGGAGTCTTTCAGCGTTGCGAAGGACCCTGGTGGTAGAACCTTCTGCCGGCCATAATCACGTGTCCCCGAAACATCCCGAAACATCCAGCGAGGAGCTTGCGGCTGCTGCTTGCGAAGCGTCGATGCAGAGACCCAGGGCACACCAGGCAGCAGCGAGAGACGCGTGGCCTTGGCCTGCAGCACGGCCCGGACTCTGCGACATGCGACGGAAAAGGAAAGGTGGTCAGGTCTGTTCTTGTAATTCTTCTACCTGTCATGCAGTGAGATCGTAGCGGACTTCTGGGCCTCCGAATGGGGATTGAGGCTGTGTCTCGGTGCAGTGGGGTGCGTGCTAGGGACACGGCGACGGCCCACAGAGCGATTTAGAGTTGTGAGCTCTGTTGATGTCTGCTTCTGCGGCCAGGGCATGGTCCGTCCAAGGCAGGAGTGGGGTTCTTGGGTGGAGTCTGGAAGCAGCGGGTTGTTGTCTGACAGTGCCTGACAGGTGTTGAAGGCGAGGATAGAAGATGACACCCTTCTGGTGGACAACAAGCCGTGGCCCCAGACGACATGCGGGCGTTGTGGGCCACGTGGGCCACACCGCAAGACTATCCGTCGTGATCGTGATCATGATGGTAGTGGTGGTGGTCGTCGTGGTGACGATTAGTTATTATAATAATGGTGGTGATTGGAATGGTTAGGACAGAGACGATGACACAGCTGGCACCGGTTTGATGTTTTTTGGCAGTAATGCCGCCACTGGGTTGGTGATGGATGCGACTGATGATGGTGATCATGGCCATCTGCATCATGCAGAGTGTTTTTTACTGAATGTGGTGATTGCAGGCGCCGCCGACACGTTTGCATTTCTGTGTCATGGCAAATACCAACAGGCGGGCCCAAGAAAAAGCACCAAGCAAAAACTAGGATGAGGATAATCTGCCATAGACATCCCTTTGTAATGAAGCCCAAACAAGGTAATTAAGGATATTCCGTGCAAGTGCTTACTGTATGCTTAAGTCCTTTGTGGTGCCCCCAAATGAGGATGACAAGTGGCCAAGCAGCCGAATGTACAATGTAAGGTTTGCAATTTGAGAATGTTTTGCTAAAGGCTTGGAAGTGGTTTGGGATCGGAGTTATGAAATTTGACGAAGGCAGGCCATCATCACATCGGAATCGTCAAGCTTCAGAGGGGCGTTTTTTCCGGCAAGACAGATATAGAATGCCTGCGTGCAGCATGGCAATGACGCCCGTGGATGAATGGAACGAGCTGGAGCAGCGTGACCATCATGTGATCATGTCGGAGGAGCTTTTTCAGAAGGAGCGCTGTGCACGAAGCTGAGGCATAGGCAGCATGCAGATGTCGAGCCGACTTTCAACCATGAACCCTGGAGGCGCGAGCACAATTCAATCGTGGGGAGGTCGTTTACCTCCACCATGTTGTGGCTGTGGCTTTCCCGGAGCTTCCTACAATCAATGCGGCCCGGAAAGCACTTCGCCAGGGACGGGTCCTTCTAGACGGCCGCGAAGAGCGTGGCCACGACACGCTGGCGCCATCGGCCGGAAGCTGCTTGACAGCTCGGCTTGGCAGCGTGGATGACTTCATCCCAGAAGTCGATACCGTGCTCTCGTCTTTCAACGAAAAGTCCGAGCGCTTGGAAGCCCGATGCCTGGATGCACCACAGGAAGAAAAGTTCAGGTTGCTCTAGGGGCCTTTCGTGTTCTTCTGCCAGCGAGGAATTCACCTGCTGCAGGAGAGTCGCAAATCAGGCTGGGCAGTAGTGTCTCGGCACTTTCAGCGCCAGTGCTCTCCAGCTCGCCACTGTGCGTTACTGAGGGGATCGGATGCAACCAGTGTCTTTTTTTTTCGAAGCTAGGCTCCCTGTAGACCCCAAAGGTCCCGACAGGGTCCAAGGTTCAGAGCGGCCTCCATCTGATGGCTGCGAGGTGAACAAGCCAGCCGGGCTCCATTGCCGACCCTGCGGCTTCAATGCAAAGCTTCTCACCTTGGAGGACTACCTGCCAGCGTTGGTTGGGCCGCCCTTGCAGGGGACTCATTGCGGCCCGTTCGCGTTAGGTACATTACTTTCCGAAGCCCACAAAGAGGTTCCGGAGTGCAACGTGGGTGTAATTTGGAAATGAGAATATGGCGAGTCCTTGCCACTGCATCCAGCGCATTCCGCAGTGTCACTAGCTCTACCAAAGTGCCTAAAGAAGTTTGCTGCCAGCTACTTCCTTGCAAAGGCAAGGGCCCTCGTGCTTGCCACCGCCTGGACTTCCGTGTTGCCGGACCTGTGGTAGTGGCAACGAGCCAGGAAGCCATGCGTGGCCTGGCTCGACTTGATGTATTTATAGTGTAATATACGAAACAACAACACCTGTTCGACATTGTTACGGCCCCCTTCTGTATCCGTTAGAAAGGCTTACTCTACTTGCTACAGTAATCATGTAGAACCACTTACCAGTTTCTGACTGCAAGGGCCGCCCATTTCCAGGCAGTATCAAGGAAGCCTTCGAGAACCGACGCGTGAAAAAAGAGTACCGTGCAATTGCCGCTTGACCAAACTTCGCACACAGCTCGTAGTGTGGTGAGGCAGTTGCCGGAGGGCAGATATGGGCCGTGTAGGCCTTGAGTCTCGACATGCCCAGGGCTCGACAAATTGAAGCCTCTTGTCATCGAATGTCTTGAGCCGGAGTTGAGGTTTGTGGCAGCCCTGCTCGGCTTGGCAAGCAATGTGTTTCAGTTTCAGTTGATGGAGAGGAGGCTACCACGCTGGTGGAAGTTCTGCAAACTGTCCCCTGCCCTCACTATGGCGAGCTGGCGGAACTCAGCCTAGTCCCGATCACAGGAAGGCACCATCAATTGCGGCATCACTGTTCGGAAGTGCTGGGCACACCAATCGTGAACGAGGAGGGCGACCGCTGTTCAATGCTGCTGCCGCTGCATGGGAGAAGCGAGCTGGGACGCCGCTGCCCCCATACTTCACGCGAGGTGGTGGCAATCTGTTTCTGCAGGCCATTGAGGTCTCCTTTCCAGATCCCTGCCAGGACTCCGACTGCTATGTTACGGTGCGGGTACCAGTCTCGCAGCGCTTCCAACGTCTGCTTCGAACATCGGAACGGGCTTACAACGAGGGCTGGCGCTCCTCAAGCGATGGAAAGACCTACTGGACAGATACGTGGCAGGCCCAAGAGCCCTTGCAGCCGGAAAGTTCTAGCTGCAAGCTCCAGGTTGAATCAAAAGTCGGTTTGAGCCTTCACCTTAATGCATGATGTGCATGCATCAGGACGCTCTTCCGCTCTTCTTCTTTTGCTTAGGCTGCAGCAACAAAGTTCTTAGCTGTGCTCTGGCAGTGAGGCATGGTCGCTTCGACGGGCGTCAGATACGTTGGGGAGCCGAGGTTGGCCATTGCTTGATTCTGCCTGCTGCTGTCGTAGCAGTAGCAGCAGCAGCAGCAGCAGCAGCAGCAGTAGTCGTAGCGGTAGTGGTCGTGACCGTGGTGGTGGTGGTGGTGGTCGTGGTGGTGGTAGGGGTAGGAGTAGGAGTAGGACGGGAGTACTAATTAGTATTAGCAGCTAGCACTAATGCTACTACTATATCTTAGCAGCGAAGAAATAGCAACGATGATGAGGCCCCTGAAAGTCCCTGAAAGTAATATGTGTCTTGGCACAAAAGTACCCCTGATGGTATTCATAGCTCTGCTATGACAGGAGAGCTGGTCTCGCCTGGATGAGCCCGGTGAGGTCTCCGTCACCTGGTTTCTGGTCCTGGTTTCGCACTTTGAAATTTAGGGCCGCGGTCCCGAACCTATTGCAGGGATCCTGAATTGCGTGTCGGCAGCGTGGAATTAAGGAGTTGAAGGACAAGGGTTTCTTGCGCGGAATCCATCTCGCGTCGAACGCCTTGGCGGATGATCGTCCGAATCGCTCAGCCGGAAGCAAAAGCGGCAGTGTTGGTCATGGCAGGAGGACGCGTTCCACAAGTCGGTTGTGCTCGGCTTAGCAATGCACTTCGTGAGCAGGTGTAACCAACCTTGGCACAGTTACTTGTACCATGCACGTCTGTCCGGCAATGTACCCCAATGCATGGATGCAATCTGAGTTCAGGCAATGGTGCGGCTTATCATGTCCGGGTCTCGGCCGTTTTCCTGTGGGTTTGCGTGTGTGCCTATCCGGTGAGAGTGAATCACAATGCTGATTGAGGCCCCAACTAGCGGCAGCTTTGCGTCGGGGGCCTTCTATCGAGAGCTGTGCACGCAAAACTTCTCTCAACCGGAGCAGCCGGAGGTGTCCATGTACAAAATTGCGTGTATGGTATAGAAGTTCCATCCAACATGGAGTTTGCTGCGAAGTTTGCATGTGACTACATGGGGACGTTCCCAATCACTCGAGTCCCACGATTCCCATACGACAGCCCACTGGCGGAGGCTGGGAGCTGGAGTCCTCGTCGCCCCGGGAGGCCGTAAGCTGGCACGCTGGAGTGTCGCTTCGAGTGCGCGGGTGCACAAGTTAGAATGAGCAGAAGACCATGTTGCATGCTAGCTTCATGCAGTACGATTGTTGGCAGCTGCAAAGATTGGTTCCTTGGCTAGCGAACAACCCCCCCCTGTCCCAACTACAGAAACTACAAGTTTTGATAAACAACTAGGGGTGGCCATTCTGGGTCGAGCTGAAGCTTGTGCCCAATTTTCGCAGCCTGCAAGTTTCCAAGCCACACAGTGGACCCAGGGAGCCCAGTACCCCTTAATTAAGGGATATATACCTTAAATCATAATATTACGGCGCCAAAAAATTTAAGGTATATTCTTTAATTAAGGGGTGTTGGGCTCTCTGGGGAGCGCTGTCACGAAGCCGGAGGCTGAGCAAGTCGACCTTGAAGCCCAGTCTGCCCCTTGCCTCAGGAGAACTGCAAGCTGTCGACTCTATTCGTCTATTCTATTCAGTTCTATTCTATTCTTTTCCACTCTGCTATTTTAGTCTATTCTTAATTCTATTCTATTATAGAGTCTATTTTATATTATATTGGAGCAGTAGGCAATCGAGTCCCTGGTGAAATATATTATGTTAGAGTTAGAGGTTCCAGGAGGATTGGCGATCCATTCAAGGGATTACTGAGGGCATGCTTGGGGACGTGAAGCAGCAAAGAAGTTTGCAGGGTCGATCCTACTGATAAATCGTTGAGCCAAGGAAGCGTCTGCGGGAAGGCGGGCTGTCTTCGCCAGACACATCCAGATACCGATTGAATTTAACACAAGGCTGTGTTGCGAGGTTTCTGGCGCCGTTGATGCTTGTTTCCTGCTGGGACGGCTCGTCAGCCACTGGCCAAAGAGCTCAAAAGTGGCAGCACAAAAATATGATCACAGCTCCCCGCATTGCTCAGAAGCCTCCAGACAAAGCGTGCCCGGTTGAAGTCTTAATGTGACCCTTGCAGCTGTCACTGGCAGGACACAGAACTACAGGATTTCAACGGTAGGCGTGAGGTAGACAACGTCCTGAACGCCCTACCGGAAGACGCATGGGCTTCTTCATCCAGATCTCCAACGATTCAGGTCGGCCCATCTTCCAGGCTGCAAGGAATTACCCAGACGTTTCCTTCGCCTCCAGCGCGCTGTTCCACGCACTGGTCACTGCGAGCTTGGAGCAGGGCTTCGTGCCGGGCCTCATTCGTTCCGATGATGCCACAATTGCCCTGGCGGTCCACGGGGAGCCCGGTGCCCGTCTTGGCTTGGCCATGGTTACTTCGGAGTTCGCTTCGGGGAGGACCCGGGACCTGGAGACGAGGCTCCGCTGGAGACTGGAGGCCCTGTACCAGGGTGCTCGGTTGATTCTGGGCCAGGATTTGCAGAAAGCCGCTGGGGGACACATCCAAGCCGAGACTGCGCGGCGGCTGCTGACGGAGCGCCTCTCCCCTGTAGTTTCCCAGCTGATGTCAGAGGAGGAGGATTCCCAAGCCTCCACTGCAAGCGATCCCTTCGGTTGGAGTCTTGCGACCCCAAGATACGGGTCAGGTCTGGATGCCTCGCGACCGCTGCCGCCTTTGGGGCTCAGGCTCTGCGGTGCTACTGTGGAATGGCTTCTTCTGGGCTGCAGCAACATCGCAGAGCATGCTTTGAATGACTTGCTGAAGTGCCTGGATGTCAAGACACCAGCAGGTGCAGAGCCTGAAGAGCCTTCAGGTCACTTCGGAGCTCTTATTTGGCACGGGCGTGTGGTCGCCGCCACACAAGCATGGCGCCAGGCAGCTGAAATGGACCGAGGACTCCTCGTGGCTATCGCAAACTGCGTGGGGCCCCCGGCCTTCGGGGAAGCAAGCCGCACATTAGCTTTGGAAGACATGAGTGACCTTTGGTTGAGGCCTAGGCAGACGGGACCAAAGGAGCTCGTGAGTGACGATGTCTTCTGCAATTACCGAATGTTGAATGTTCGGCTTTATCATGTAGACAGTCTTCTAAAGCAAGATTCGAGAAGGACCTGCAATGCCAGAGATATGGATGCGACATCTCTGGTCCTGTCCGTGCTAACGCAGAATTCGTCCACATTTTTCGCCCAGGCAGATGTGCTGAAGCGACTGCGTGAAAGTGCGGCCCGCTTGTCGGCAGAAGGAAGCCATGGAAGCCTGCAGCGGTTGTGGCACAAGCTGATGCATAAGAGCTCTGCGAACATCTTGGAGCTTGACCGGCTCTCGGCTGTGGTCTTGCTGGATGAGCGGACACGCGATTCTGTTGCCTTGCCGTCTCCTTGGGATGTCACCGCAGATGACACAGACGTATGCACGTCTTTTCGCCACTTGGTGTACTGGATTCATGCGCTGCCACCACTGGACGCCAACCACCCCCAGCAGTTCGTTTGCTGTGAAGGTTACACCATTGCTGGAGTCCGTCGTGAGGACAACATAATTTGTTGGGGATCTGCACCGACAAGCACCAAGCAGATGCACGGCACGCAGGACTTGGTTCTGCAATCAATTCAGAGGCTGCTGCGCCGCTTACCGCGCGCAACTGACCTTTGGAGTTCAATCGGAGCGCTGGAAACCCCGGAAAGCCCGCTGTCCTGACCTGTACGTAAAAGATGCAAATGCCCAGCTCGGTCGATTGGTCGGTTGCGGAAGTTCACCGCATCAAGGCTGGTTTAGAGTCAGAGACGCAAGAGCCTCCTAATCATGTCTTGATCGACGGTCCCACAGAAAGATGCGCGAAGACAGAGATCGGCTATTTCTAGGCTGCCCACCACGAGGGCAGAAGAGCAAGAGAGAGACCGATCTCAGAAAAGCACAGTCAGTACTCGCAGAGGAGTTGTGCAGGGAAGTCGCACAAGATCGAGTGCCCAGAAACATCACCCATCATGGACACGGGAAGGGATCTCGCACTTTGACGCCTTCCCGGTACATCGCCATAGAGGCACAGAAGAAGATCCTCCAGAGCCTGACGAACTGACATGAGGCGAACATTGCGACAGCCCTCAAACGCAACTCGACAGACCAACCGACCAACACCACTTCACAACACCCGCATCGTGCCGTCCCGCATGGAAAACCTGCTTAACATGACTTCGCCATACTTCGCCCCTGTGTACAGAAGACCAGAAAGACCAAGAGGCCCCCTTATCCTGCAGCCGGCTGCGAAGAACCTTGAGGGTTGGGTTAGGTACAGCATGACTTGAGAAAGGGCGTGTTGATGGAGGCGGCAATAAGGTGCTTCTTGCTGTCAAGCTGCCCATGTCAATCTGGAAGCTGCTGCTATTAGGCAGTGCTATTGAGTGTTCATCGATTCCGGTGGTGTACGCAGGCCTCTCTTCAACTTCTTGCTGGGGTATGCTTCTGCCACGAAGCAGCCAGAAGTGGCCGCTTGTCAAAAGCGATCTGACCCTTCAAAAGGCCATCCATATATATATATAGAGTAATTATATATATATATACACACATGGTAATTACATCGTGGCACGAGAACAGGGAGCTTGCATGTTGGGGGCTCAGGTTTCCGAGCTCTACTGGGCCTTGGTCTGCCTTTGCCACCAGCCAAACGGTTGCAGCCTCAGGGCCCAGACGTATCTGACCTTGATGGCTGCTTGCTGCTGCATCCTGGCGTTTTTTCTGTGACCCAAGCCCAAAAACCCGCCCAACATCCTGAGGTGGCGAGGCCCTCAAGGCGGCCCGCAGCTGACCTCAGCATCCAGTGGAGACTTCTGGGGTGTGAGCGCGTTGGACAGTTTGGAGATGCATTGCACCACCACCCATAGCAGTCGTCTAGTCGTAAAGATAGGATACTAGTTCGATAACTGGTTCTTTCAGAAGGACGTCTATGCGCAGACTCACCCTGAAACGTGATGTACGAAATGAACGTAAGCGGGCGAACAGCAATACTGCAACTGTACTATGCATAGACAGTCATCCATCCATCCATCCATCCATTAATCCATCCATGCATGCGATAGATAGACCCCTGCTTCGTTAGGTTAGACTAGATTAGTAGATTAGACAGATGAGATAGATAGCAAAGAAAGGTTACTAGATGAGCCAAGGGAAGCAAAGCGAAGATAGGTAGATAGATAGATAGATAGGTAGATAGACGGATGGATGGCTAGATGGATAGATATGTAAGTAGATAGGTACCTAGACAGATAGTCTTAGCTGGAAAGAAAGATGGATAATTAGATAGATACGCTCGATCGATTGTGATCTACTAATATGTACTTACATGCATACACGCACATACGTAAATACGTACATACATACATACATGCATGCATGCATGCATGCATGCATGCATGCATGCATGCATGCATACTTACTGCATACATGCATACATGCATGCATGCATGCATACATGCACACATGCACACATGCATACATGCATACATCCATCCATACATACATACATACATACATACATACACACACATACATACATACATACATACATACATACATGCACGCACACAGACATACAAACACAGCGACAGCTTGCGTACACTACGTACCAGCCATACAATGCATGCGATAGCTGCTTGCCTGCCTGAATGCCTGCCTGCCTGGCTCCCTGCCTTCCTGCCAGTCCAGCTTGCTTGCTTGCTTGCTGCCTACCTGCCTGCCTGCATACATACATACATACATACATACATGCACGCACACAGACAGATGTGCGATGCTTGTGTGGTGCTCAGGCATCGCTTTGTTGGATGCGCTACAAGCAGGTGGAGACTCAGGGAGCACTTCGCATCAAGTTGCAATTCGCAGAGATGTGGGACTTGGGTGCCCTGTGCATGGGTTTCACGACTCGGAGTGCCCTGCTGGACTTACTTTCTGAATTCTGCTTGAACTTATGCATCGGCCCTCGTAGATGATTTCGGACCATCCAGGCGACGACCACTTCCTCCAGGATTGCAGGCGCGCATGAGGTATGTAGCTGGCCACCATGTACTGCAATACTCATGTGTAGTAAAGCAGTTGCTAAGAAGTGCTGGCGGTTGGTGGATGGGATTGCCGGATGGCCTGACCAGTGACGTCTGCTGCCAGAAAAATCTGGGCTCTTTTGTGGCCCGGCAAGCTCGCCATGTACAAGTTCGATACACGTGATTGACCATCATGTAGTTGTAAATGCTTACAATCCATTTCGTACCAGTTACGGCTATTCGCATCATTAGCCACTAGTCTCCGCTGCCACATTCTCACAGCATGCTGCGGCATGCTTCAATCAGCCGCTGCATTGGGTTGCAACGAACGCCAACACCTTCCAGGCACGGTCCACTGTACACTCGACATGGGTTTCTGTAACTGTTGGAGTCGTTGGAGTGTTTCGGATGTGTTTTTGAGTTCAGCGGCCTTTTGGACGACTCGGTGCCCTCTTCGGAGTGAGCTCCATACTTCCAAGTGGCAGTGGTGCGAAAACATTACCTCTGCGCGTGGGAATTGCGGCCTCCGTGACTCCAGACTGAGGGTTAGAGAATAAGGCACCTCGGTCCAGAAAAATCCAACAGCAAGGCAACAAGGGTCGTAGATGTCGAGAATCATGACGGGGCCAGGGCGCTTCAGCATCAGCGTTTTCCTGCGCAGCGTGAGCAGGCCACTTGCTCGCTACAGGGGCACTTGTTGTTGCGTGGCCCTGACCATCCTGCCTCCTTGCTGACGATCTGCCTGATAGCATGCATGTCTAAGCTGGAGTCATATTATATGCATGTGTACCTATACACAGAACATACGCACAATAGCCACACAAGTATACAGTATACACAATACATGACTTCATTTCATGAATAGCACATATACATGCATCCACATACATGCGGGCTCCTCCACAAGCTTCCGTAAGTGTAGGAAACATGTAGAGGAAGCGCGGTAGATCCTTTCCAGCACCCTATGATAGCTACCCAAAAAACACCCGGCACCCCCGTGGAGCGCTCTCACAGCCTCCACAGAAGCCCTGTGCAGTCCTTACCAAAAAGGCCCATGGGTCGGTGGCTTGCTCGGCTTTGACTGCAGCGGCTGCTTTTGCGGCGCAAGCGACCGCCAAAACGCGGGCACTGCCGAAGTCCTCGAAGAAGTTTCGGCCTCAGGCTTGAAGGAGAAGCTGTGTTTTTCAGAAGATCTGGGGATCCGGGAAGCCGAAAGTTGGTTTTCGGTAATCTCCGAGCGCGAATTTCAAGCTCCCGGGAGGTTTCCGAACAAGGAGTCGAAAGATAGATTATGGTACCTTTGTCAAGCGGTGTTCATGCTTTTTTGCTTGGCCTGTTTTTCCCATGTCGCTAGGTTTCTCGAGGAGTGTGAGTAATCACACTCAGGCTGTGCCACATGCTAGCTGAAATTGAACAGCATGCCACGGGATGCCATGGCACCTTGAACTAGCACTCAGCATGTCATGTCACTTTATCCTGTTGGTCGACCTCCTTGAACGTGTGATTTGACATGACATGAAAGCAAACAAACAGATGACTGAGTCTTGCACTCTTTAGAGTTAGTCAAAGTACCCTTCGGGCAAAACAGCGAACGTTGGTACATGTTCAATGTGAAGCCACAACATGTATCCCCAATCAGTTGATGCATGCATGCGCGACGGTGACGCCCCGGCTTCGTGGAAGCCACGACATCTCCAGTTGATGAACACAGCTCGTGTTGCTTAGGCTTGGCACTCATGATGGCAGCTTCCAAGCTGACGTTCCTCGGCAGCAGGGGCGAACTTACGAAGAATCGCCTCCGTCTCTCTCTGGAGCAGTGGATGGAGTAGGATATTGAAGCAACAAATACAGGACCTTACCGACCGATGCATGCATTCTTGAAGATGTCTGCATGTGTCTACAGCTATACAGGCTTTCCAATGCGTGTTGTGTGTACATGGGCGCGGGACGTATACATTTTGACTTTGTGCAGAAATGCAAGTACTCTCCCATTGGCGGCCGAGGAGGCGCTAGCGTGCTGGATGCTACAGCAGCTGCCGGAGTTCGCAGGATGCGAGGTGATGCGAAGTCGACAGCAGAGGCCCTGGGTTTCGGGCAAAAGTGTGGTGGACTAGAAGTTTCTGGGTAGGATCGATTTTACGGTTGAGTGGTGACCCTGAGCCGAAGTTAGGATCCTGTCCGAGATGGACATCGTCGTGGATGCTACTTGCCGTGCCAAGAGAGGGCCGTTCATGCTTAGCCAAGCGCTGTTCGATGAGCTTCTTGTACATCTATATTCATAATAATCATTATTATTATGATTATTGTTATTATTGTTATTATCATTATTGTTATTATTATTGTTATTCTTATTATTATTATGAAGCAGCCTGGATCCAGCCTTGCACTTGAGGTCGGTGATGTCTACGATCCTGGCCAGCTGCGCTTCGACCATCACCAGCGAGGTTTCTTCGAAACTGCAGATGGCATCCCTGGCGCAGCCAAAGGACCGGAGGAGGCCAGTACACAGAGATATTGCAACACACATGTGGCACGCAATGCCACACTCATTTGTGCCAGCTCTTGTTCTGTTGTATGATAACTGATAGCCAGATGACGAAATATGGTCAACGAAGATATGGCGCACGTCCGGCGCAAGTCGTCGTAATTAATCACGAAGTGTCCGCCCGATGCTGGAGCACCCCAGTGTGATTTTGCTTCATGCCCTGGCGTGGTGCAGGCAACTGGCCGTTGGAAGACTAGACTATCGTCCAGCGGAGCCCTGGCATGTATGCTTGAGCTATATGTCCTGAAGACCCCACCAAAGGGTCCAAAACCCCTAAGCAGTAAGATCAGGCCTGGTGTACAAGCACTTCGGGCGGGATCTGATCCGGCAGCTGGCAGCGACAGATGCCGAGAGCACCGAGCTTGTTTGGGCTGAGGCGCCCTCCTTGTAATCAGGGACTCCCGGGCCCCAGGATGCAATTAAAACACTTTCGGTGGCGTCATCATTCCGAAGCAAGCTTGCCTTGAGAGGTCTATGATAGGTTCGTCGAGTGCATCGATGCCATTGACAACGGGGCCGCTCATCGTAGCAATCTATGAGAGCTGGGCTTGTTGTGACATACGTTCGGCGCGATTCGGCAGACCTTGCCTAGCCCCTGCTATGCTGAAAACGTGTTTGTTGGAAACCCATCAATTGAAGGTGAAATGGGGGCTCGAAGATGGGCGGAACAAGTGGCAAATCGGGGTCATGGTCGGTGCTGGAAGTAGCAAGATATGTTGCATGTCGCTCGAGTCCGTTTATCAAGCCTGGGCCTTGGTGGAAGGTAGCAGGGCAAGATGAATAATGTCATTATGTAGCGTGCGCACCAGTGTAATTTTTTAATTATCTGGGAACTGGGGACTCGTGCGTGCTTGAGACATCCCGTTTTTGTCTTCGTTATATATGATCATGGATGGACCTCCTTGGACGATACCGTTGCTAAAAGAAATGTAGAGTAGTGTCGAACTGCGTTGTGGGTATGTTGTCGTGGTTGCTTTCAGCAACACGCCAGTGCTGAGCAGTAGTGCACGTCCTAATAGAGGTGGTGGTGGTGGTAGTGGTAGTGGTAGTGGTGGTAGTAGTAGTAGTAGTAGCAGCAGTGTCGTGGTGGTGCGGGTAGACGCGAGACATGATAGTCACAACTCCTTTTGCGCTATTCAGACAAGGTCGAGATGTGCGCTGAGGGCATCCCTCGCTTCCAGGAATGGAGATGATCCGGTTGAATGATGCACCAATACTGTCCTCCATACAGTCTGTCCAGTGGACATTTTTCCGCAATGTCGAGCTCTTTGGATTTACTGTCTTCGAACATGGCTCAGCACGCATGCAATGCGTCATGCCGAGTCATACACAACATCCCGAGCAGTGTACCCAATCTCCGCATCGTCTCGCTTTTGGAGCAGGACTGCACAGGCCTTTCTGCACGTGTCGCCCGGCTGAATCCTCGCTGGAATGAGGCGTGGAAGAGTGTTTTTGGGGCTCGATGTTCGGAATGACTTTGCTTCACACGCTCGTCGGGTTTTGGTGAGGGGTGGATCGCTATGGTTCTGCTGGTCATGACGCTGTTGCTCGCAGGCGTGCGATGACGAAATCTTGCAGCATCGCTTCGAGGCTGCGTGTGGGCCTTTTCTGCGCTGCCGGATGCAATGCATACTCAACCGTCAGAACCGAGCACGTGTCACCTGCCGCATCTAGGTCAGCTATGTGTGGTTCAGAGTTCCTGGAGGACACCTGCCGGCACATAGAACACGCGCGACCCGCTCGATCCGATCGACTCGGGGCCTGGACTCCCTGCCCCCCTCAAAGGCCGTCTCCAGCCTGCCACCACACAGCACCTCCCGAATCCGAATCCTCCCCCCCCGCTCCTTCCCACCTTTGCCCACCTCCCTCCTGGGTAGGTGCTGCTTGTCGTGCCGAGGTCCTCAGCGACGTCGTGGGGTCCTGGCTTCCGGCACGCGCCTGCGTGGCCGCGGCGATGGCAGCACGTGAGGAAGTTCACAGCTCCGGACAGGCCCATCTTCAGCCGAAAGCTGTAGCGCTCGGATGTGAACCGAATTTCAATCTGACATCGGGCGAGGTCCTCAGACTCGACTCCGGAAAGATTCCATGGAGGAACGAGCAGCATCTTGTGCATCGATCACGTCTCTCGTGGCTGTGCTTGTCTGTGGGAGGTCCTTACGAACTTCGGTCGTCAAGTCATCCTAGCACGAGCTGATGCAGTGTATCGATATGAAGTTACTGCTGTGGCGATCTGATGGCACAACTGTCCAAGCTCGAAGTGTACATCCGAGGCCATGCAGGCAGCAGGTCGGCATCATGATGTCCTTGTACATCGGCACTGCAGTCCCAAGTTGTGTCGACGTATTCGGCTTCTTTGTGTCTGATGATTTTTGTTTGGTTCAGTCCTACGGCTCCTGCGAATTTTGCCCATCCCAGAATACAGGCCAGTAGGTAACCCATTAGCAGCTAGCAATTAGTAGGACTAGTAGTATCCATGCAAGCCCACAATTGCTTGAAACCCCCGCACGGTGCAGGAGTCACATCTTTGACCTGGAGCGTGAACTTTGCCTTGAGGGTCACATCAAATTTATCGTCGACTTCTCAGCCCTCGAGTGCTTATTGAGGTTGATTCGATGTCGATATGACTCATATCACCGCCCCCCGTCTCTGCATGTCTCGTGTATCGATGTTTATGCCCATGTTAATGTCTATGACATCCCTAAATCTACACATTCCTTCCTGACAGGAATTGACAGGACTAAGTTCAGCGAAGCAAGTTCCTACTACTAAGTCTGCACTGCGACTGCTGCTACTAAAGTCGACTGCGACGAAAACTATGACAGAGCGTTGATCATGCACCGTTCTGATATCTAGTCCTTGCGATTTACGTAGGCGTCTGACGATCGCGACAATGAGGACACAACACACTGAGGAAGAGCAAGTTTGGGATAATGATGATGACGACATTGGTGGTGATGGGATGCTTGATGATGGTTTTCGTGATGATATAGATTAATATAAATCACACTAGGATTTTACTGCCGTTGGGATCGACGGGTTTGCGAGATGCAACTGTAACGCTAAAGGATAATCTGCGGAGAGCTGATGAGTTGGACTCTTCCTCCGGACAGTGTTTTCAGATTTTTTAGTTGTGCTGTGACACCGTGTCCGTGTCTTTGCACACACCGAGCCGCTGCTGCTTGTCCGAGTCCTATGTACGAGTTACGAGTACAGCAGATGATGTCATGCACAGCAAGTCGCCTCACGAAGGGCATGTCGGGGATGAAAAGCAGAGACTTTCTGTTGCCTTGCATTCCGTTTGCTATGGCTACGGGCCTTGTTCAAGTTGCCAGCCTTATTCTTTCTAGTACTCCTTTGCCGCCATGGTTCAATGATGGCGATGATCATGGTCGTTGCACTTGCGAGTTGCAAATGTCGGTTGTTGCTTCTGCCGATGCTGCTGTTGCTCTTGCTGTTGCTCTTCTGCTGCTTCTTCCTCTCCTTCTTGGTTTTTCTGTGTCTTACCAAGTGTGCTGTCGACGTCGCAGATCGGTGCTTCATTCCACGTGTGCAAACTCATGTGAAAATCGAGGTTTTGTGTTCAGGCTGATCTATACTGCGTTTGTGGGACGTTGTGGCTTGCTTGCGGAGTGTACGGCCAGAAACATCGACAACATCGCCATTTTCGGTTAGGGTTGGGGGACCGGCATGACGACATCATCTGCAATGGCAGGGGTTGCCGAACGGAAAGACCCTGTTTGTTGCCTATGGATTGTTGCTGGTTGTTGGTTGTTAGTAGCCTTTGCTTGTCGTTTCTAGGTTCATGGTTGTTGCTTATTGACAATTGCTGTTGCTTGTTGCTTGTTGTTTGGATGTTTCTTGGTTGCTGCTTCTGGCTTCCTGCTTGCTGGTTGTGTGGCCGGGTATGTATTTGTTTCTGTTTGGCTTGCAATTCTTCCAACAGAAGTGTGTCGGACTCAGAAACGATTTCGTGCACGCGAAGGTCTAATTTCCAAAGCAAAAGTCCTTCCCTTGCGGAAAATCCTTGCCTAGGCCTTGTCGCTGCTGCCGTTACTATTATTTAACTTCGGGGTAAAAGCCGGTCCAGAGGAAGAATAAGTGCAGTGTCTTGAGACTTGAGACTTTGCCAAGGTCTACCCGGAGGAGCCGTGGCTGGCAAAGTCATGGATTCTTTGGGCGGATGTTGCAACGCGTTCTGTTCAAGTCATCTTTCAGCGTTACCAAGTCCTTTCGTTTCAAAAACGTGCACTCGCCATGTGTGCTGGCATCCGCCAAGTCCCTTGCCTCAAGCAAGGGGAGATTTGTTGTTTAGAAGACCAGTTTGGAGCCTGGAGCCTGCTCATTGTATATCGAGCCGGATACACGCATTCAAGCTGACAAGTTTGAGCACAGCCCAACACCGCAGAGTCCAAAGCAACTGGAGCTCAGGAGGACCTCTTCCGGGTACGGGCGGTTCCCATCGAAGGTCGTTTCTTTACGAATCGCCTCTCTCTGCCAGAGCTGCTCGAATGCACCATGGCCACGCTCAGCCTTTCCAATCTGTCCCTTTGTTGCTTGCCCCGTGCTCTCCACAGGCGTCTGCAAAGGGGATGAATCTGGGAAAGTCCGAACAGAACTATCGCAAAAGCCCCTTTTCGCCCGGCATGTCCATTCTGGTCCAGGTCTTGGCGAGGCCTGCGGGACGATGCTTTGGTGAAAGCCAGTGGAATCGAAGGAGACTCAGATGAGCTTTGCAGATATGCAATTGTATGTTGGTCTGCCACGGTTTTGTGAGCACATTTCGTTCTTGCAGCAACTACTAGTCTTCGGATAGCTAGATTAAAAAGTAGTGGCTACCCCCATGTACATATGTACTCCCACATATGTAGTCACCGCAACAGTTCCGTGATGCATATACATGGAAGCATCGATATTTTAAGACCACAAGTTTTTCTCCCCGGAAACGTAGCAGAGGAGTGAGCAGCTGGATGTGTGACTGGTAGGTCAAGTATGATTCTAGAAACATGCAATATCATGTATAATAAGATTCAATATACGATAATATAGTTCAAAATAACAACACAACACAGTACTATACTGAAAAATGAAGATGTAATAAAACATAATATAGAATACATGATGTCTTACATAATATATAAATTAGAAATTATGCTACTTGTATAGTATATATTAACAGATACATTCTATAATATAAGAAAACTGCATAAGATAGAATATAGTTAATGATCTTAGCCTATATAGTATAATACAACATCTGAACTACATTGTACTAATATCTATTCTAATACAACGCAATAATTCAAAGTATGGGTAACATACACTAGCAAAGAGAAAATAACTCCCAAGCATATACTATAAACATATTTGACATAAGGCATAAGGTTTAATATACTATACCATAGTCAATATAATATACACATCTTGAAAAATGTACAATATATAATGTATGCATATATACATATATACACATACATACATCTCTCTCTCTATATATATATGTATGATATGACACATAACATATAGCACATAATACATAACATACAGCATATAGTATAACATATACTATATTATGGCAGAAAGCCCGCCGGGGTGCAGGATCCTGTTTCGCCCATGTCAACGGCTGCTTCGCTTTGAAGCTATCGCTTTCCGTGTCACGAGAGGTGCTGTGTGTGTGTGTGGGATGAGGTGTAATTAGGGAAAACGGTTCAGGGTGTTGCGTGCCTATGCCTGGATAATCAGTGAAGTGGCGAAGGCCGCATGCACATGTTATGGCCATGAGTGTTGGTTGAGGATCAGGATGATCAGGGCCCAGAAAATCGGAAGAAGAAAGGCCTCACTTCGCTGCCCGAGGCTTCATCGGAGGGAACTACACTCTTGAGGGAGCTCTTGCCATGGCAGATGCTAGCTTGCGATCGAGCTCCGAGTAAAATTGCAGATCTGTGGCCAAGTTCATGCTGCCTTGAAAAGGGGCTGAAAAGGGCATTTCAGAAGCAGCGCATTTTGATTGAGAATAACGCCAGCTCATGTGTCTCCTGATGCAGCAATTCCGGGTCAAGGCCTCTCTCCCCCTTTGTCCGAGCTTCCGTGTGCCACGCTGATCCTAGATCTGCCATGGCTTTGCACCTTGGATTGAAATTGTGACTCTTACAGAGAGGCCTTATGACAAACCGCAGAGGCACATTTGCGCTTGCTTCGAAGAGGCAGCAGCCAACAGTAGCTCGCACATGAGCTTGAAACTCACCGCCAGAGCTTGCCTCATCTTGCCTCGCGGATTCCATGTGGCGAGAGTTTCGCTTTCGAACCTGCTAGACTCTGCCTTTGAGCCTGAGAGAGTCATGCAGAGCAGAGGCCCCGCCAAGTTCGCCAAGCTGTAGGCCCCTAAACCCTAAGTCCAGAGGCCCCAAATTCTGAAGCTCCTGGGCCAAAGCTAGACGGAAAAGGGTCGTTCCAAAAAAGCCTAGCCTAGCCTTTAAAGCGAAGAGGAGGCCCTGAAAGAAGCACCAGCTCTGGTGAACCCCAAGCCCGAAGCCTGAAGCGGGTGGAAAAAAGCTTGCAGCCCTAAGCCCTAAGCCCTAAACCCTAAGCCCTAAACTTTACCTCGGACGTCGCATGCCATGCCTGCCTGGTGCGAGTGTGTGTGTGTGTGCGTCGAAATCCCTAAACTTGAAAAGGTACGTGGGAGCCTCGAAGGTTGGCTTTGCTGGCGGCGGCGGCTTCGGTGGCACCGCCATGCGCTATTTCTTGTCCGCGCTCCACGGCTACTGCTTCGGCTCCTTGGAGGAAGGCGTTTAGGGTTTTGAGGGATCTTGAGGGCACTTCGGGTTCAAGTGCAACTACTTCTAGGGTCGGTTTTATGGGGGTTTCAGGGCCTGGGGGTTGTTGAATATCGTGGTCTGCTCTGTGTGCATCAGTTTATGCCGGAATTGCGCTGTTGCTACAAGGGTGTTCGCAACCACAGGCTCTCAATCAATCAAGAAGAGAGGAACTCAGAAGGATTTCAACAGCACGGCAAAGAGTTGTGCAGAAGTTTGAGGCTTTTCCGGCTCCGGGCTTTGCCGGTCTAGGGACGCTCTGGGGGATCTCGAGGGGCAGCGAGACTAGGTTTTGGGGAACGTTCGAACTCATGGCCGCTTTCTCTCCCTCTCTTGGTACCTTCCTAACTGTCCTAGCTGTACGAACGGACCCGAACACGATCACAGCATCGGTTATTCCTGAAAGTTGCAGAGGTTGGTAGTTTAAGTGTTTGTTCCAAAGTCGGCGGGGCTGATTGTCGGATGCCCAATTAAGTCAATAGTAGGTTAGTGCAATCGAATCTAGCCGATGCTTGGAACAGTAGTAGAGAGTCCCAAGAAGGTCCCGGTCCTTGAATCCCTCATCCATGAAACCCTTTGCAGCTTGCAGCACGGCGCCGACAGTCAAAAGGCAGGTGGCAAGATTTGGTTCTCATGAAGCATGAACCCGTAGTGCATATTATGTGGTCAGCAGAGGCTATTGCATCTACGTCCTGGCCGTGAAGCCCACCTTCATTCAGACACGTCTGGCCGTTTTGGACACTTTCCCCAGCCTGAAGAATCAGGAATGAAGCCGCCGTAGGCTCGCAAAAGATATGAGGGGATCGATTTCAATCTGTGCCTTGAGGAATCTTGGCCCCTTGAACTGGCTTCCGTCTTTCTGTACGACAGGACACACCGCCTGACAAGAAAAGAGACCGAGCGAATGGTGGAACCTGCTGGGGCCTTTCATGCTCTTTCGCGCCCTCTGTGTTATCATCATGCTGAAACCAGGCACTCGCAGACGGATAATGCCTCCAACATGCTCGAATTGTCTATCCCCAAAGAGCACGGCCAAAATGGGGCACGTCACTGTTGTAACAGGGGCTCTAAAGGGCCTAATTTCGAGAACTACTCACAGGGGCCCAAGTGGGGCGTTGTAGGCGGCGGGTCGGCGGCCAGTGCGAAGTTTGGCGACAACACACCGCGCCGGCCTCAGTGCCACGGGCCGCTCATGGTGGTTTGTACTGCGTGCTTGATACGACATTTAATTTCTTCTTGTAGGCCCTTATCCAGTACCACAACAAGCAGTCCAGTTCCGGCGGCGGCAATTTCCATCATCGGAGCCGCAGGGGATGTGACAAGTCAGCGATCTTGCGGCGAAGAGTCACACGACTGCCGATCTACTTGCAGCTGATGTAGCTGCACGTTAGTCCAAGCTGTTGTTTTGCAGTGCTACATCAGTTCTTCCTGAACTTGCAGGACCACCAAACTGCGAGAGGCCAGCAGTTGCATGGTTTCGGTGCACAAGCGCAGCATTTCATTTGGCAGCGAAGAATCGGACGTGACCAGTCGCTCAGCTACGATGGTTAGCGTCATGCTTAGGAACTTCTGCAAGGTCCTTCGCAGATGGAGCGTTTTGCTGCGCACCCAAAATGCAAAGTGCATTGCACTCGACCGACGGGATGCGACCTGAGGCGGCGTGCCCTCGATTTGGAGTCCTTTGACCTTGCAGCAGCGGATGCAGCCATCCTGGCGTCCCCAAGATCAAGGTGACGGGGAGCCCAAGTCTGTGAAACTCTCGCCTTGGAAGCCGGGACTCTGCGAGGCCGAATCACAGGGCCATCGTCCAAGTCAAAACAAGAGTGACACTGATCTGGTGATGGACGGAAGGTAGTTCACAGCATGGCTTTCTGTGGGCATATGCCATATGACTTGCCAAGGCTCCGGCAGTGGGCATTGCCGCGACCTCGTGCTGCACTTCTGTGAGACTTTGAAACTCTAGCGCTCGCCCCCTGCGCTCTGCATGGCATAGGATTGCCTTGTCAGGATCTTGTAGACCCTGACACGGAGATGGACCACCTGTTTCTCTCGTCCAACCCCAAGCTTGCGGATCATCGGTCCCGTGCCTGCTCAGCAGCGGGGTGTTGCCAGAACAGGCGCCAGGTGAGAACTTGTCTTAGCTTGTGCTGAGCTTCTCTGCCGAGTTGCGCGGAATCGTTGAAAGATGCTGAAACTCCGGCAAGGTTACCGGTGGATCCAAGTGTCCGCTTCGAGGGTACAGTGGTAGAGAAGAGCCTGGACCACAGCGGAACCCGTGCAATCTACCGTGTTTCAGCTCCCACACACGCACCAGCGACAGGCGCCGTGCTGGCATCTAAGCAGGCACCCCTGATGCTGGTGTGCAGGCGTGGGCTGCAAGATGCATACTGTACACTGGGAGGATGCATCAGAACAGGCAAAACATCCCATACTAGTATTACAAGTGCGTCTTTACAAACATATTGTTGCTATTACTAGTATTCTTCGTCTTTTTTTGAATATGTTTAAATTTTGTTGTTATCATCCTCGTGTGGCCAGGACACGGCACAACCAGCTGCACGGATCCTTGGCTCACAGCCCGGCGACCTCGCCGTCACGGTCCAACCAGGCACCTTTCTTCGCTAGAAGTTTAGGGTTTGAGGGTTTAGAAGTAAAGGGATTTAGGGCTTAGCGCATTGCAGTCCCTGCTCAAAAAAAAGAAACTTAGGGATTTAGGGTAGTTTTGGGTTTGGGGTTTGGCTTCTCCACAGAGCGGCTGTGGTAGCGGTGCTGCATGTCGGCCCTCCGTCGAGATGATTCGCAGGTCGCAGTCTGGTGGCTAGACTTGAGTCCTGTAGGCCAAAAAAAGGGATTAGAAGTGTAGGGTTTAGGGAGCTTCAGAGACATATTTGCGAGTCACCAGAAATTATCGTTTAGTGAAGGCATGCTTCAGGCTTCGTTCGGTAGAGAGAGAAGTGATTCGACGGACATGTTACAACAATGTTGATAGCCGCCATAGCAAAAATGACGGTGATCATGCATGGTGCTAGCAGCAACAACCGACTGAGCCTACTGAGCTCAAAGTTCCGCGTGATCCCAAGGCAGCAGGGAGACACGGCGAACAGGTCCTGGAGAAGTACTTGCTGAAGGCAGCGCACTGAGGATTTACCGAACATTAAGGTGCTGTAGCCGATGTCCATCGGACTCCTGTTGCAGCCTACTGCTTTCGACGGGATGATGACACTTTCCATCGTTACTCCTGCACTTCGCCGTGTGTGCTTTAGAGGTCGGCGATGACCTTCGTCAGGATCAGCTGGTGATTCAGCTGATGGTCCGCGGCTCTGCAGCCCTGCCGACACTCAATTTTCATGAGGACGTGCTTCAATGATGTGTGCGGAATTGGGTCGTCAGTGTGTGCGTGCCGACCCTCTAGCGCAGAAGCAGCTGGGACACTGCACCTGCAATGTGGCTGAGACTCTCTGCAACTGCATCTGGCGGAATCATCTGCCGGGACAGGCCTGGCGAAGCGTGATTGAAGCCTATCCTTTCCTTTCAATGTTGGTGTTAACTATGACTCATGTTATGTGACATCTCATTTGCATCATAGCTGCTATTGCAGCTTGTTGTTTCCAGTCGGCCGGTGCGGAAGCGCGGGCCAGGGACCACCGAGTTTCGAGTTTCGCAGGGCCTTGTGGGCACAGCCTGTTCTGAGAGTTGAGATCCGAAGAAAAACAGGGACTTGTTGGTTTCGAAAATGTTCGACACACTTCAACCCCGCTAGGATGCGCGGCTGGTGCAGCTGCCATTGCCCAGACCCTGGCGGAAGCGAAGGGGATTGCACTGAGTTTAGACATAAAGCGTTTGGAGCAACGACGGGCTTCTGAGGTTTCGAGTGTTGGCTGTGACACCCACGCCACTCGGCTCGCCTCAGCTACACAGTAAAACGATTGCGCAAGGCTCATTGAGAGCAAAACTGGCATGTCGCGGCATCCTTGGATATTGCCGCTTTTTCGGCGCAGCTGTTTCAGGCTCGGGCAGGGTGGTTGTCTTTTCCTCACAACACACGTTTTCTTCGCTGCATGAGGCAAGAGTCACTGCATTGCAGGACTGTGCAGGGCACATCAAAGCGAATTTCCCAAATGGTAGTGACGACGATGCACAGCTAGCCCAAGACAAGGTAGTCCTTTCAGCGATCAATGTATGGGGCTTGGTTGACAAATTACATCTTTGTCGGGGTGAAGGTGAGGATGAGAGAACGTCAGGCTCAGAGATGATGGAGCTGCATCCTGCGGCACAGGTGCAGAAATGGAAGCTGAAGTTAAGAGGATGGCTTTGGAATCCGGACACGAGACCTAGCGAGGCCCGAAGAATCTGCAAGGCATTGCTTGAAAGTGGTCACCTTGAGACACTGCCGGAGTACTCGGATATCCTGGCCGCAGTGGGGGCCCGGAGGTGCTGGGAAGCCGGATTAGATGTTTGGAGCCGTCTTGTTCGAAGCCCTCGCCGCCTTCGGCCAGATGTAAAAGCCTTGAGACTGGGGTTGCATTGAGAGTAGGCTCAAGTGAAGGAAACGGGTTCAGAGGATTTCAGAGGTCGCTCAGGCAGGCTTTCGGATGGCTTTCAGCTGAGGAACACAGCGCTGAGGGTCCTGGGCAACGCTGCGCAGTGGGAGCATGCTCTGGCTTTGCTTGCTTCGGCTGCCGCCTCTGGAGTGCAGCCGAATGTGGAATCGCTCCATCACACTTTGACAGCTCTGGGCGAAGGCAGACAGTGGCAGGCCGCCCTGTCTCGTTTATGGGCGGAGAGCGAGTTCAATTTACCGGACGTGTCGTGCTATGGTGCTGCCATTAAAGCCCTCAGCAGCAGCGGGGAGCATCATCAGACATTGTGGTTGTTACATGATGTGGAAACTGTTCAGCTACGGCCTGATACGCAGACCTATGCTGCTGCGATTCTTTCCTGTGCTGAGCTAGGTGAGTGGCAGCGGGCACTCGCCTTCTTGGACTACATGCCTCAGGTCGGGCTGAGTCCCAACTCCTTCTGCACTCTACATGCTATGCAAGCATGTGCCAACTCCGGACAATGGGACAAGGTCCTCTCTCTTTTTGACGAAATGCAGGACTCTTCGCTGACAAGGCCCGTGAAAGCCTTCGGCTTGTCCCTCGAAGTCTGCAAAGCAACCGGCAACTGGGAGCGCGCGCTGCTCATCTTCGAGGAATTCATAGGCAAAGGTGGCATCTTAGAGGAGGACCTGGTGGAACCCCTCTTGAAGACTTGCCTTGCCTCTAAACAACAAGAGAGAGTGCGAGAGTTCTTGATGCCCAGCTGCAGCCAAGCACCGATTTGCGAAGCTGTGATCTGCTGTTTCTTTTCGGCTATTTTGGTTCTTTAAGCTCCTCTCTTGATTCATGAGCCAAGGATAGAGTGGGACAAACTCGGGTTCCTCCCCAGCTATTCCTTGAGCAGATACGTGGCCGACAATTCCTGAGAGCACATCTTGAATGGCCGAGCCTTCTTCATCGAGTACGAGCTAAGATCTCTGTGCTTCGCAGCCTTCCGTTAACATCAGCTCGTCTCAGAGGATCGGCCCTGGAAAAAGGGAGAGCATTGCAGCTGCTACTGCTACTGCTACACTGTGTTTTCTCTTCACTCTCTTGGAAACGTACACCCTCGGTGTTTGAGGGTTCCGGCCCTTCGGCCCCTGAAGCCTGCATCGCTTCCTCAACAGATGGCCTTGGCTCAATTAATGCTAGCTTGAGCACCAGGCCTAGGTCGACGATCCCAGCGCCCCAACTCTTCTACAGCCATGGACAACCCTCGACCTCCACTTCCGACGAAGGCAAGGGGAGGGCCTATTTTTTGGGGTCTTT